CGGGGATATATAGTTACCGTGTATTTTTGAAGTTGAGTGGGAATATATTTATTGTATAAGTTCTTATCGTGCAACGCTCACACAATGGGAGTTAAATAGGATGTATTGACGAGTCTGACCTCAATAACTATAAGGTCAAGGACTATGATATATATAGACAAAAGGAGCGACTATTCTCTGTCCGGTCGAGGCCTCTTTCGTTGCCTCATCACAGGCCGCAAGTCGCCCTTTCCTTGTGAACCTTAATGGTTGCAACAAGCGCTCCGATAATTAGTAATAATTGGCAATAGACCGGCCTATATATTGCTGTCAACATAATATAGTTCAATGAGTGACTCGATAGTTATGAAAAGAGTGTTGCGAAATGCGCAATAAGGAGCGTTCTAGACGGCGGAGTTCCTCGGAGGCGTTCGGCGCGAGTATGGGGGTTGTAATGACACCGTCACAACTCAGCCTATTCAACACACCCCCTCAGGAAATAATACCGTCGTCGTTGGTGAGGAAACATCAAAATAGCATTTCCTGGATATCAATGAGGTTAAGTTGCTTGATGAAAGCCTCGTGTTTTTACCTAGGCAAGGCCTTCGTGAGGCCGTCGACAATCATGTCGTTTGTTGGTGCCCAATCAAGGTGGATCTTTCCTTGTTGCACCTCCTATCGAAGCCAATGCCGATGAATATCAACATGACGAAGTCTTGTAGACAGCTTTTCGTTCTTAGTTAGCAGTCGAATAGTCTGCAAGTTGTCGGAGAGCAAGGGCGAGGTCTCCTTGAGGTCTAGATTAATGTCAGCGAACATTCTCTTCCACCATATCATTTCGCTCGCCGCATTGAAGAGAGCAAGGAGTTCAGCCTCGGTGGAGGACGTTGTGACCGTCTTTTGCTTCCCCGACCTCCAGTCAATGGGCCCTCCGAATAGCGTCAGGATGTAGCCATCGAAGCTTCTCCTAGTCTCAGGGTCGTCGGCGAAGGAGGCGTCCGACGCGCAGAGGAAGTGTTGGTCAGATTGACTGTTGTACGTGAGGGAGAAGTGTTTCGTGCGGTAGAGATATGCAATCACTCTATCCGCGGCCTTGGCGTGCGCACTCGACGGGTTGACTAGGAATTGGGCTAGTTTGGAGTGAGCATAGGCGACGTCTGGCCTAGTTGCGCATAAGGCAAATGAGATGGATCCAACACGTTATTGATATACGTGGATCTCTTGTGGTGAGGCCTGTCCTTCATGAGGTTGCAACTCACTAGTTAATAATGAAGTATCAGGCAAATAGTCAAGTTGTCGCACATAAAACTTGGCTGCAATTTTATCGATATATGAATCGAGCGATAGGTGAATAGTCCTGTTGTTGCGGTCTCGCAGGATACGAATGCCGCAGAACCAATTAGTGTCGTTGAGAACGCGAAACTTGAATCGTTCTCCTAGTCGGCGTGTTAGGGAGTGAAATGCGTTCGTCTTGCTCTTGTGATAAAGAATCATGATATCGTCAACATAAAAGAAGACTAGAACCTGTTCGCCTTGGAAGAGACAGTTGACGTTGGGCACCTCCGCAAGTCCTAGTTCCTTGAGCGCCGCAGTGAAGGTGTTGTACCACAACAATGGAGATTCCTTCAAACCATAGAGCGCTTTCAGGAGGCGCAAGATCTTTCCTGGCCTAGAATAACCTTGAGGATACTCAATGTAGACCTCCTTTTCCATGGGTGAGTTAAGAAAGGCGTTGACGGCGTCGGCCTGCCAGATTTCGAGGTCAAAGAACGCGGCAATGGCCATGAGTGCGCGAAAGGTCTTGAGTGCAAGGGTTGCCGCATATGTGTCGTCCTGAGAACGTTGCAAGTCGCCGCGGGCGCAAATACGCGCTTTGTGTTTAGCAAGGAAGCCGTCGTTATCGAATTTATACGTGAACACCCACATAAGAGGAATGACTTGCGTTTCTTGGGCGCATGAACGTTCCACTTGTTTGACTGTGTTGCTTTAAAGGACTTGGCTCCATTCAACGTCCATGGCCGCCTCGAATTGGCGCCTGTGCGGGTGTGCCAGCATTTAACGATAGGTCTGCGGCGCGGCAGGAAGGTCGTCTCTATGAACCCTTTGCGGTTCATTCAATGCCTCGCTAAATGCCGCGTGAAATGCGTGAAGATTGTGAGGATCACTTGCTAGTTGTATAGCATAATTCTGGTGACGCCTAGACGGCTGTCGTCGACGTCGCTCGTGAGATGGAAGGATGTTGTTCTCATCCAAGTTGGCTGATATTTCACTAGAACGTGGAGATATGGTGGGAGCATCGTCGCGTGAGTTGCCTAATCGGGTAGTAGTTGCCGAATCCGGAGTAGTTACCGAAAATGGCGCAACCTGATTGGCGAGGTCTGACGACGCCTCGTGGGTATTCGATATTGCAGGGGATTGTGAAGAAGTGCTAGGCTGAGGGCTGTTTGCAACTCTAGGTTATTGAATGCTAGACGCGCTAGGCGCTGTGCTAGCCTCGGGCGTTATGCGTAGCGTGGGTAAGGCGATTTCCACCCCCTCAGCTTGAGTTCTTTCTTTCTCAACTTGCAATTGAGATAATGAACCGCGAGAGACGATAATAGTGTCTGGATCATCAGGATCTGCAAGGGGATCCCAGTCAGGGGAGGATTCCACAACGTCGTCGCCGAGAACGAGGGCTTCAATGTCAAGAACCTCAATAAGTTCCTGGGGAAGGGCACGGAGTTGCTCCGCGGTCTGCACCTTAGTGGGATCATAAAACGCATCATCATGAAACACCACATCCCTGGAGCGAAGGATCCTTTGTTTTGCAGATATCCAAACACGCCAAATATTCCTTACATTATAGCCGACTAACCAGCCGACTATAGCCCTGTCCTCCAGCTTTTCAAGCCTAGGAACTTGCTTGTTGTGGACGAATGCTTTGCAACCTATTAGGTGAAGGTGCGAGAGGCTAGGTTTTCGTCCATGTGACACCTCATAGGGTGTTTTCCATCCCAGCGACCTTATTGGGGTCCTATTAATAAGATAGCCAGCCGTTTTGACTAGTTCTGGCCATAAAAAGTGAGGGAGATGGCCTTGGACCTTGAGTGCCCTAGCCACTTACGTGATGATGCCCCCGGAACGCTCCGCAGCCCCGTTCTGGGCTGGAGTGTGAGGGGCTATGTGTTCGACGGTGATTCCTAGCCTGCGGAGTTGGCTATAGAAATTATCGCTTAGTGCTGTTTCATTGTCTAGACGCAGGAATGCGGGCGTCTTGTTGAATTGCGTTCGGATCATCGCCAACCAGTCTAGGATAAGTTCTCCTGCCTGGGAACGACTGTTATGTGTGAAAACATAGTTCATATGGGTATAAAAGTCCCATAAGTGGCTCATATATTGATCCGCGGCCCATCCCTTTGCGAAATGAACAATGTCAAAGGCTATTCGGCCTAGTGGTTCGTCTCTTCGTTCCTCGCTATTGTGAAGGATTCTTGAGATCTATTGTTTGGATTTTGCAAGTACACAGGTCTCGCATTCCGCTATGCTGGGAGCGTCATTTCTTGTGACTTGTATTCCCTCGGCGGCATCCGGAAGATGTTTGACACTGTCTAGGCTAGGGTGCCCTAAGATCTTATGCCAGGTAGAGGCCGGATAACTAAGTTCCTTGTGTTGTTGCGTGGTTATGGTTACGAATGCTGTGTATTCGCATGGTGTGAATATTAAGTGGTTGTAATAGTTGTATACATAACCCACTGAGGTTCCGTCTCGAATGAACATTCCTCCTATTCCGGGAGGCGCCTGGGTTGTGAAGTGGATACCCTTAACTACTATCCTTAATAATGAGACCACTTTAGTCATGAAGCCTCGAACACAGAGAACGTCTATAAGAACAATATGAGTAGGTCCTGTAGGAGACATCATATCAATAGTGATTGTCCCAATTAACTCGATTGGATACTTGTCAACGCCACAAGTTAACGACTCATCAGGGCGCGAAGAACGTTGCGCAACGTAGCCTGATGTATTAGGCCGGCACACATGAACGTCGAATCCTGAGTCTAGAATCCACTCGTTGTACAGGCTCCTATTGGTTAACCCTGAATAAGCGAAGACAAAATAAGCCATGATTACTATAAACGCCATCTCCTTTTTCTGTTCCTTTGCGGAGGAGGAGAAAGATAAGGAAGTGGAGTTAGAGGCCCTAGTAGTCTAGGCACAGACTGTAGCGCCTTTTCGCGGCAGATCGGCGCGCGGAATGGAAATAAACTTTGAGTGTAGCGCCAAATTTGTCCTGTAGCGTCATATTTATTGTAGCGCCAAATGTTCTATGGCTTAGCCTCGTGGTAACGTAATATAGCCTCGCCTCGACCTTTTAAACGATTGACTCTTCCATCCTAGCTAATCCTTCCAAGACTCGACTTCACGGGTACGCGGTTATCTCATCTTCCCTTTGCATCATGATCTCCTCTTCCTAGCTTCGCAGCTACAATCTTACGATAAGCGCTCCTGAAAACGCGTTGATTTGTACGCTATGTCAACGCGCCCTACGTATTGATCCGAGGTTTGTCTGGCAGCATCTTTCTCAGGTTCACTCGATCGACAGCTCGCGTCGGTCCCAGTTGGAAAACCTCACGACACTCGATCTCACGGATATCTCTCAACTGACGCCTCGAAACGATCTATCTCAAGAGGATACGGCCCTGGCCACGGTTTCTGGATTCGCGTGCGGCCACTGCTCGACTCGGACAACCAGCCAACAGCTTCTAGGGCGATATCTCTCCGCCCACCATCGCATAGAATAGTCCGATGCCACTGACAGTCAGGATTATCGATATATCCTCCTATAGCGGTGGGCCATTGCCAGCTTAAGAGCACAGCAATACTGGATCGTCGCTCCCATCAGCAGTGTGGCGCCTTTAATGAACCCTGTTTCTCGCAAGCGAAAGCGTTTCCAAGTCAGCCACCAGAAGCCGTCCCGACCGAGAATAATGGGTGCCGTGGACGCGCGAACCTGGCTACAGCCCTCCCCTCCTCCACCGTCGACTCTCCTCTTCACGATTCATCAGGAGGAAAAAGAACGGATCGCGTCCTCTCACTTGACGTTTAATCTGCGGTCGCAGAGCGAGTCAGACCTCACTCCCTGGTTCGAGCGGACAGGCTAGATCGCGACTTACGCTCACCTTCCTCGAGAGACCCTCTTCCGGATGACCCAGCTACCGACTCGACAGACGCGAGGAGAAGGTTTCGCGTTAGGTGAGCTCTCTTCAAGCCATAAATTTTCTGCATCTCAGGGAGTCGAAATCCGCAGTTCATGTGGAGACGAGACTCGCATTTATTCAGTTCTGGCTATTATCGATAGTATCTTTGATCGATGTGAAGATACTGTTCGCGCGACACCGTATACCTTTCTCTGCTGGTTATAAAGTCGAGAGCCTGACCGAGCGTTTAAGCGGTCCTTTTAATTAGTTCTTCGTGACTCAACTCGACGGAGATACCGACAATACTGGAAGAGATGTCTCGTATTCTGTCTTCGCTATATACGACTCTCGAACACTACCCAATCCAGTCTGGGTATTTCAATCACAAGCGATCAGCGAGGTCTTATATTAAGGATATGGGATCAAATGGCAGCTCAAGATCCAGGTCACCCTTCTTAGGAAGATAGTACTATGGAGGATCAAGATGAGGATCAAGATGAGGATCAAGATGAGGATCAAGACGAGGATCAAGACGAGAATGAGGGGGCCAAAGAAGATATTGAAGATATTGAAGACAATAAAGAAACAGATGAAGATGATTATTTCTCTGAAGGAGAAGATCATCTAACCGTCGGGCCTAATATCTTAGACAATTTTGACAACACTATCGGCCCTCAATCATTAGGTCTAGATGATACCCAATCTCACCCACCTTCTCTTTCTGACCTGATCTTTTAACTGAGTGTCTCACTCTGCACATAGGAATACACTAACGACCGCCCCCAATCCACCACTCTGGTCTTCCTCAGCGGTGTCTTAGGTTTCACGGCAGGAGGGCAAGGATACCACCGTCCGCGAGCGTACACACAGACCCTTGCTGCGTTGATCCACCAGCAGACTCTCCTTCTCCTCGAATCGACACTTCCCATATCCGGCTACCCCGGCTTAAGGATCTCGGCTCGACCGCGACGAGAACAGCTTGTCCATCTTCAAGCAATGCGGCGACGGTATACTTGTGGCGGGTGCCTCACCTCCCTCCTCGAGTTCACTGGTCTCCTGGCCTTCGGTCGCCACTTCCTCGACTCCGAAGGACCGACATTCTTCTTTCATTGGAGTGATGACGGTCAAACTCTGTCGTTCGCGGAGTATTAGCTGTCATTGCAGTCATTTCGGTCTTTTGCATATGGCCTTGTTGACCAGGCTTCGACTCTTCGCCGCCAGCTCATGTATGATTGGTCTCCTTCTTACGATCTCCATTCCATTCGGGACCTCATCAGCCACACGACGCCGGGATATTCCTTCGTTCAAGAAGCACAGAATGGTCTCCGTGGCGCCTATCTGCACCTCTCCACCCGTGCCTGTCAACAGGGGCTCATTGAGCACAACCGATGGGTCCACGCCGCGGTCTGGAAGTATCTCCGACTTCATGAAGACTTCCTCGTCCTTCTCTTTCAGCTGTTCTTTATCTGCGGTGGCCAGTCTCCCCGTATCCACGATCTAATGAGCCTCGAAGCCTGGAACGGGCCGACTAACGCCCGTGGGATCTATGTTTATGGGGGATCGGTCCTCTCCATCAGCCGTGTATCCAAAAGTCAGCGTATCACTCATCGTGAGTTTTACGCCGCTCGCTTTCTTCCCCCCTTCGTTGGTCAGCTGGTCTACTACTACATGGTCTTTATCCGGTCATTCGTCGACCTCCTCCTTCGCCAGTGTCTTGGCCACAGCATCACGAGCCATCTGTTCGCTTCCAACTCTTTCATTGCCCACCAATCTCTTCCTCGCCCTATCCTAAAGGATCGAGTATTCCTACTAGGAATACTGCCAAGGCGCTAAGGATAGACCAATCAGTTCGTCAGCCTGCTGGCGCTAGAGGTAGGAATACTCTGTAGGAATACTTTCATCTGGACACGCGCCACCCGCTCGCATTCAGACAATAATTGTATCGTTGGAATGCTCTCGTCGAGGCGAGTAAAATGTAGCCAATTACAAACTCTGACGATGTGTGGTTGTTGTGCTACAATTTTAATGGGGTAAGGGTTGATCAGGGGTTAAGTGGTCACCTTAACATTCTTCCGTCAATCTTGCCAAGATCGTCATGTGACTCTCATAAATAAGTAAAAGTAGTTATCACTCACCGCATTCCGACTTTCATATAAGAAGAGATCAACAACAATTCCAACCAATATGGACCCAACAATCTACAACGATCAATACCGTCTATTGATCTGTACCACTCATGGGTACGCTATATTATCTCTCGAGTCACATCTTCGAAATGAGCATCGAGATCTTAGTCTTCAGCAACGAAAAGAGATTCTTTCTGCCCATAAGGGCCAAGTCTATGCTAGACCAGACGAGATAAATATACCATCACCACATCAACCACCCATTGACGGTCTCGCATCACCGATTCCAGCGTTTCTTTGTGCGGCGCAATTCTGTGGCAATGTTAGTAGCAATATTAAAACCATTGAACAACACGCTCGTCATCACCATCAATGGAAAAAGACAACACAACAACCGGTTTTTTGGAGTCAGGTTCAAGCGCAAACTTTTTTCGTTTCTCGAGGACTCCGAAAATACTTTGTTGTGCGCTCAGTCTCAAATTCTTTACCCCATACTACATCGACATCCGGTCCATCTAGTGTCCGGACCGCACGAGAAATCCACGGCCACGAAGTTCGGCAGTCATCTAGTTCAAATCCGACTGATGTTGTCCCGCCCGCTGGTGACAATGCTCGAACAATTATGCAGTGTCTCCAGGAGAAAAGAGCCGTGCTTGATACCGTCCATGAAACCAAAATGCAACGACTCGAGATAGGGTTGTTGAAACAAGATCGCACCGGTTGGTACAATCGAACCAAATGGCAAGATCATTTCCACGGTCGCAATCTTGTGTATCTTGCGTGGGCGACTCGAATGCCGGAGAAGAACGAGCCAGTACTACAAGAGATCTTGAATGTGTTTGATAGACTTGCCGTCTGGTCGGCTGATAGTGTTACTACACTCGATCATGAGTCACGACGTTGGTTACGCAGTGAACAGGCGACCGTGATTTCCGCCCGACCATTCAATCGACTTCAAAATGCCGACAGTGAGGATCGATACTTCATGTATATTCGACGATTTATCTGTTATACTTGTCGAGTATGGGACTCCGAGATTCAGACCCGAAGGCGTACACATTCTACTCAATCCCCTCAATGTACGAACGACGATGAAACCAGCAATCCGCAATCTTCTACAACTATATCTAATCCAATGTTTAATCATATACAAACTAATATCTTTTCAGTCAGGAGATCTCGAACACTATATCAAGAGATAGACTCTGACAATACTACTAATAATAATGATAACGACGATAACGACGACGATGATGATGACGATAATAACGACGATAATGATGACAATAACGACGATAATGATGACAATAACGACGATAATGATGACAATAACGACGATAATGATGACAATAACGACGACGATGATGATAACGATAACGATGATGATGACGATAACGATGATGATGACGATAACGATGATGATGACGATAACGATGATGATGACGATAACGATGATGATGATGATAACAACAACAATAATAATGATGATGACAACAATAATAATAATCATGACGATAATAACGAACAACTATCCAGATCATGTACACCAAACACAGAGAGAAGTAACGATGACACAACAGAAGACATTATGAAAGATGCGCGTGAGCTATTCCCATGGACTGATAACCAGTTTCAAGCAACCACGAACATGGTGAATTCCGTATGTACATTTAAGGATGATGAAGCTCGAGGTCGTCAAGTTACAGACTCGAGTAAGACCGAGGCGGTTCAATTATTTCTTCAGCAATTTATCTTTCATCATGTCGGTGGCGAGCCGTTCAAGAGTGGGTTAATTCATTTTGTCGCCGTACTCGGCATTGACGAGGAAAACCGTCGACTCAGGGAGGCGATCAACTTTTCTTATGTCGTGGCCGGTTTGGTCTGGTCCATTCGAGTGTTGGCCGTGGAGATTCTACTTCCGGCGCACAAGCGAGAGACCCAGCCCGATAGCCATGAGCGACGACTCAAGTTTCAACGTTATCGTCGTGAATATTTAGTCGATGGGAGTAGTACGCCCATGAGTGAGCTCATCAACTTACTCGCTTACGGAAAGTACATCGCACTTAATACGAGTAATGCCGGCAGTATGACTTGGTCTCGAGATGGCGAAATCATCTATTATCATGGACTATCCATTCCACTCAACTCGGTCCGCTCCATGATTATCAGCAACATTGAACGCGCGGAAGAGCTATTATGGCGCGAGTTGATGTGGACATCGAACTTGGCCCAACGATTCACCGTCGATTTGGATCAATTGGAGGATGATCTCCCATTCACCCGTCGTGGCTGGTCATTCTTGAAACGTGAAAGGAACCAGCTGGCCAATGGCTATGACTGGATGGCGGCGAAAGCCAGTACACAACGAGGTAAACGACGTCTACTTCGTGTCAACGGCACGTGGCAGCTCCGCGGGGTTCGACGATGGCTTCAGCACACCACATACTTTCTCGAACGACTCTTGTTCGCTATGCACTCAACATACGGACCCGTCAGTCGTGGTACCGAGATCACCGCCATTCGATTTCGTAATGGCGCCACGGCCGATCGCAACTTTTTCATCATCGACGGCAGTGCTTGCATCATCACCCGCTACCACAAGTCCCAGCAACTCTTCGACACTCCCAAGGTCATTCCACGTTTCTTGCCGTGGCGGGTGGGTCAGCTGGCGGTCTTGTACTTGGTCTACATTCAACCGTTTCGTGAACTATTATTAAGTGAGACGCAGAATCTCGACCCGAGTGACCATCTCTGGCACAATGACAAGGGCCCGTGGGAAACCGACCAATTAACGCGGGTCATCAAGCGCGAGACGGCTCTCGGACTCGGGCATCGATTCAACACGCTGGACTTTCGACACATCGCCATTGGGGTGGGACGACGAGTGATCGGTGACCAGTTCGGCCGAGGCTCCAAGGACGAGGTGGGCGAGATCGAGGAACCGGAACAGGAAGGTGAGGATCCCATCGAGTTACAGAGTGGACGGACGGAAGCCATGGGCGCGTCACGATATGCCGTCCCCGCGGACATCATCAAGCACTTGAGTGTACGCTCGTTGGACACATTTCGACCATTGAGCGAGGGCTGGCATCGATTTCTCGGCTTGGTCAGTGTGCGTTCGCAGATGT